ACACACGCTTCGAAGCCTCGATACAGAACGTCACATCACTACTGCCGGCCTGCCCTTTGGGTCCTTTTCCTGCCTGCACACAGCGATACTTGACAAATTGTGGCTTATGCTATCAAACATCACAATTATAGCAATAGTGCTGATGTTGTATTAAAACTATATTATTCTACATTAACTTGAATACTCACATAGAAATGGTACATAGTACTGTATGAGTTATGATAAATCACAAAGAAAAGCGGTTTTAGTATGCAGGTTAACTTGAATACTCACCTTACTCAGTGTTGGGGGATAAGTATTTTCTTCAACAGGTCGCTTTTTTTCTGCAACTCTGTCTATGACCAAATCATTGTCAAGGGACATGAGGATGTCTTTCTCTGTAGTTATAAGCATGAATGCTTCCAGGTGTTCTTGTGACTGTGTGCTTCTTATTCTGCTTTTTATGTGTTTGAGAACAGCAATCTGCACAGATTTGCTTTTCTCTGAACAGGTTTGTACCTACCTTTAAATCATTTTTAGACCGGTTTCCTGTTCACCTCAAATCAGATCCAACCTTCGGCTACATTTGTTCTCTCTGTTGCAAAGGGAACCGGGCGGAAACACCAAATATTAACCCCAATTCTTTTGTCCCCGTGATAGAACACAGAAACATACTCATATAACATTATAATTGATCGGGAAGATTAAAATTAATGATATATTTTTATGTTGTTCAGCCACAACTCTACTAAAACCTCAGCCAGTAATAGGTCGGCCAACTTTTGGACCGTCCAGTTGTCTGTATGACTGCCGCAGTACGTACGTCACATTTGCTCACTATCAGAAAGAGCCAAACAGCCCTAGTGGAGTGAGCAGCTGTAAAGAGAAGCAAATGCTCTGTTTCTAAAAATGTTTTAAGCTTGTTTCAAAGATTCTGTACAGCAGCTTTAAATGTTTTCCAAAAGCACACAGACACTTATCAGTGTTTCTCAAACTTTTTACAGTGTGGACCACCTGATAAACATGTCAAGCTCTCCCAAGGACCACTATGAAAGCATGAAAGTCATAAATCTTACAACACAAAATTAGTATCTGCAGTAAAGATTTTTTCATGCATTGTATACATTCTACCACAGGCAAAGTTGCCTCCATTTTTATATTCTTTTTTAAAAATATTTTGTAATAATTTATTTGTAATAATTTATTCTGTTTCCGGAGTGTTTTTTATGCATCTGTATTATATTATACATACTCATTAAAAGTGAATCTCTGTCCAAAAAAATGCACTTAGTTTACTTCCTACTCACTATGAGCATCATTTATTATTCTCCTCCAGTAATTAAGGTTAGGATATGTATTTTTTCTATTCCAATCCATAAAAAATTATGATGACTGATAACGGAGATGAAGACAACAGATGATGAGGACAGGGAGGATGCAGGGACTGACAGAGACAGGGAAGAAGTCTCATTGTGACGAGTAAAGTGTATCTTGGCTGGCTGGGCAGCTCTCTGGGTGCTCAGCCCCCCAAAGCTCTGATCCTAGCATCGCCCCTGCATGGATCCATCCTGCTTGTACCAGTGTTTCAGGGGACGATGTAACATTATGGGGGATTTATTTTAGCACACTTTTAGGCCCTTTGATCCAAACTTTCATGTTTGTGCTGTCAGCATGTTTTACTATTTTAGGAAAAGAGCTGAATCTGTATTAGTTTGCTTTCCTATTTCAGCACATGCAGGATTCAGTGTTCAGGTGGTCAGGTGCATCATCTACAATGAAATCTTTAAAGAAAAATGTGGTTTGTATTTATTTGTGTTTGTCTGATATAAAAACTTGTTATCATTTGAAATATGTAATTCTGACAAATATGCCAAAAAAGGGGAAGTCAAGAATGGACAAATTCTTTTTCATGGCACATTCTACATGGGTTTAATAAAATAGGAGAAACAGTGGGAGATATTTAAAAGACAAAGCCTATATGATGGCGATAATATAGCCTAATGACTTTTACTCACACACTCGTGTTCAGGGCAGACTGCTGGAGATTTTGTGGCAACAGAGAAACGTTTCTTCATCATCCAAGTGACGTCTTCAGTCTCAGCTGACTGCAGGTTTCCCCAATCCCATAAACAGTACATTTGCATAATGACTGAAACCAGCCCACTGAGGGAACAATGAGCTGGGAGGTCTTTTTCTTGATTATTAGGATACAAATTATCATGATCGTTGATCAACAACCACTGATCAAAGACCATGAGTCCCATTCACAGAGAGTTGGGGAATGGCTGCAATCACAGGATTGTAAGATGGCGACAGATGTACCCTTAGGCCTCCTCCTCGACTCAGAGATGGTCTTTCATTTTTCACGTAAATGGCCTCCTTGACTCCGCCCTCAAACCAGCGTTCCTCCCTGTCCAGGATGTTACATCCTCATCATTGAAAGAGTGTCCACTGGCCTGTAGGTGTAAATAGACTGCAGAGTCCTGGCCTGGTGAGGTGGCTCTTCTGTGTTGTGCCATCCCCCATTACTGATGGAAATCTCACAGTCTAAGAAGGCTAACTGGCCACTTTTCATATCCTTCCTGGTGAATTTGATGTGTCGGTCCACCGAGTTAATGTGATCCGTGAAATGTGGAATGTCCTGAGATTTGATTTTCACCCAGGTGTCATCCACATACCTGAACCTTATAAGATTGGGGAAACCTGCAGTCAGCTGAGACTGACGAAGTCATTTGGACGAGTGACGAAATGTTTCTCCCACTGAAAACGTCCAGATGAACAGAATCACACCTTTTCATAACTGTATATAAATACAATGTGTAAAGAGAGGTGGGGAGGCTGGTTAATGCTGGTTGTTTTTGCACTGTTTTATGATTTGTTTTATGAACTGATGTGCAGCACACATATTATTCAGTTGGAGTAGAAAAAACCCTGAAATATCAGAGTTCAAGATTTTTTAAATGACTTTTAATCAGTTTGATGTTGTTCATTTTGGACAAATGTGCCTAATGTATATTAATGCAAATGATTAAGAGATAACTGCAGAAAGTACAATTCAAAATAGCTGAATCAAGAATTAGAACAAAACCTTGTTTACACCTTTTGACCCATTGATAAGCATAAATAACACTAAATTGTTTTGGTTTTAGCATTTTCTAAATCAGTGATGTCTTTTCATTAAAAGCAAGCGAGAAGTGAATTTTATTGTAATTAAACTTGTTTTATCACATGGAAATTTGAAACATGTAATTTTTATTACATTTATTTGAAACATTGCAGATGTTTTAAATCATAAAGAACATAAACATAAAAAATAACAAAATTAACAAACACAATTTTAAACATTGTCATCCATCTACAGTGAAGTTATAATGAGACTAATATCTAAAACTAAGGTGAATATCAAAATAAAAACTTTGAAACTGTTGTTAGCACAAAGCACATTTGGCTTTTCCTCATGCAAATACACGTCCACTTATGTTAAAGCTTTTCTTTAACACAAATAAATGTGTCTTTAATCTTTCAGCAGTGCAGTTATAATCACTCGTTTATGTAAAGTCAAGTTGATTTGAAAATTGATTTTTATATTAAAAAAAGTTTGTTTTAGTTTAGTTTTAGTTCTGGAGTTATAAATGATCAAGGGGTTCCTCTCCTTTCTCTGTTTTAGCCATGAGCTCTGCTTTTTCTTTCATGGACCTCAGAGACTCAACTCGTTTCTTCCAGCCTTCTTTGCCCTCAGATTTCTCTCTTTCAATAAGCATGTCGATGTACTCTGGAGTGGACAGAGGGTTTGGTTTAAGCGCTATCTCTCTAAGTCTGTTCAGACACTTGGAGGACCACTCCATTAATTTCACCACTTCAGCCTGAACATTTTTATATTGATCCTTCAGACTGTCAACCACTCCCTGAAAGGTAATCTTCTTCCCTGTGGCTTTCTGGTGCTTTTCTTTCATTTCTTTCAGTGTTCTTTTCTCTTTAACCTGTTGAATCTCCCATCTGAAAGGCATATTATGATGGTTGTCCCAGGAACATTTGCCTTCACACTGAGTACAGTTTCCATCTGATCCGATTGCACTACAGCCTCTTTTACTTGCATCATCTGGTATATGACAGGGGTAGTGACAGGTGACACCGCATTCGGAACAGTTGGTGACATACTCTTTTTTGCCCAAAATATCCTTTTTAATAATTTTTGGGACAGTCACTTCAATCTCAAAGTTCTCATTTCTGCTGATCTCTGCTTCATGATCTTTAAGTTTTTCACTCGTCTCTTTTATCTCCTCAGTCTTGGCTAACCGAAGTTTCACCTGCTCCTGGAGATTCTCAACTGAAATCTCGAGCTGCTTTCTTTCTCTGAGGACTTCCTTTGTCAGTGTCAAGCTTTTAGTTTCTATGAGATTCAAAGCAGCAAAAAAGCTCTTTATGCTCTCTGCCCCCATCTCCCAAAACATCTGATCAAAACGTCCTCCTTTACCAACATCACTCCTGCTGACTCTTTCAAATGATTTATTTTCTGCAAACAAGGCTGAATTATTGAATTTGAAGTGAGCCGGCAGTCCGTCTTCTGTTTTAGGACATGGGACTCCTGCAGCATTGATCGCCTCTAGAACTGGAGGTTGCTGACCGTCTGCAAATGTCACCAGGATCCTGATGTTTTCTGCCACATCTTTGCCAAAGATTGAGAGCACTGAATCAAACACATATTTCTGTGTTGGTGTGAGTCGTGCTAAAGCAGCCTGAGCTACAAAACACACAGCATCGATGTCACTGACACCATGTGAGGAAGTGAAGAGATTACGTAGCTGCTCTGTGATCTCTCTGTCTCTTTCTATGCCTCTTGTATCTCCAAAGCCTGGAGTGTCAATAATGGTCAGAGAGAACGGGATTTGAAATCCCTCCTGGTGGTTGATTTTGTAAACAGTGACTTCAGAGGTCTGACTGTGAGCTTGTGATGTTGACTGATCCTCATTAATGAATTTAAACCTGAAACTGTCCTCCCACTCGACACCAACAATGTAGTTGATTATCCCATCGATCAGAGTGGACTTTCCTGCTCCTGTCGCTCCAAGAAGCATTATTGTACGACTCTGCCTCATGCTTTCTTCTCCAAAGTTAAACTTCCTGCATCCATCTATGTTCATGTGTTCTTCTGTCAGAGGCAGTTTGTAAACTGAGGGGGAATCAGATTTG